CACATTTCGAGTACGGCACCCGGCAGCTCTTTCCAACCGCTTCACCTTAAATTTAGAAATAATTCTGATGTTGTAAACATTTACAATATACTTTTCGGTTATCCAGTCTAGCTCTTATGAATCATCTCATGAATCATTATAGTATATTGCTAATAATTGCGCAAACCACTGATCATCGGGTGAAGTATGTATTCATCAAAGTTTAGTTGTACTGTAATAGATTCTTCAGGGCTGGTTGTATAAGAAGATGGTTAACCTTTTAACCTACGATTTACCTACGCAACCTATACAACCAGCTGTGATTGTTAAGTTACAGTATTTGCAGCCCTTTAAAGTTTAAAAACACATTACCGGTAGCAGTTGTGAACAATTTTCTGACAAAAAAAGACTTACTGTATTTCTTGTTAAAGAGATCTTGCACATCATTTCTGCGGTACTTCTTAACAGAACTACCTAAGGTCATGTCATTGGTACTTTAGTTATAAACATAGAATCCCATTGGAATTGCTCTAAAATTGTCACAAGTCTTAAATAAAATTATTTTACCAGTGACCTGTAGAGAACTTACCAAAATACTCACGAAATTTTATGCCAATATCGGGGTTGCAAGATAAAAAATGATTTCCTTCATTGGATCCCAGTTGGAAAACAGTGCCTTCATTGTTGATCATCAAAGATGAAGTCTGGCAGCCCAAATCCTCCAGTATCCTGATCTATGGATAAACACACATCTAATGATCACATAATGATTGCCCTGTTTAATTTTTGTTCAACTTACAGTTTAACTATTGCACTGGCCAGTTTGGTAGTGTGGGGCTTTTTTGTCATTAATCATGCTATTTATCATACCATTATGATGTATATGTTTCTTTATCTATTTTGGCACTAAACTAAGGGAAATACTAATCTCTGTATGGTGCCTTAGAAAGCCAGGTGCTCTTATTTCTTGTCCTAACCCTACATTAACCTGTGTTATTCTCATTTAGCCAGATCCACAGTAGCCAAGCTTACCTGTTACTAACATAGAAAATTCTAGAAACCAAGATAAATGATAGCAAAAGAATGGGATGGGAGACCTAGTGCTCAACTATTCTAATTTAACAATATTACAAGTGCCAAACCAAATAAAGGTTTCCGCTACCTCCTCGACTAGCTTTTTGCAGTGTCTTTCAATAAGCTTTCTCTTTTGCTCATCATCCAACACTTTTATATCAACTGAGCTAAGGGCTTTAGCAGTTTCACCATATTTCTTTTTTTCATCCTCATTTTGCAAATTCCACCTTTCTGCAGCTAGTTTATTCCTTTCAGTATTAGACAAGCCTTTACACTCATCTAAATTAACACAGATATAAAAACTATTTTAGATACACAAAAAACCACATCAACCAACATTTTTGAAGAACTGTTTTTTCATCTCATCCAATAAGAGAAAACTCAATATGATGACTATACATTTTGCCTAATATTTAGTTCAATTGTTTTTTCATTTTAGAAATTTGAGCAGCATATTAGCTACTAAATAACATTTAGACATTCAACCCTTGTTTTGTAATCTTTCCAACTCAATTACCATTTCAATGTATTGAATATAATTATGAAGACTTCCTCTCTATTGAAGCCTTATTATAGGGCAAGTGAACACACATGACAGGGCAAAAATTAGGTTTAGGAGATACCATACCAAGATATAATTTGATTGTTAATGCCTGACCTAGCTCCATGCAATAAATATTGTTAATTTCAAAAATTAAATAAAGACAATTTCACTAACCAGACTTGAAAAACTCACTGCAAAATACATTGTATGAATGTGGTCCTTTTATGTGTTTGGCCCTCTTCAATGTAGATGTTTCATCAAAGGTTTGGCTGGTTGAAGGTTGTTTCCTTTTTTGGTTACCAATCCATTTCTAGGAATAAGCAATATACAGTGTAGTACACATATAAAATTGTAACCAATATATAATAATATAGTATACAGTAATTAGAAGGAGCACAACAACACAATTTTGAAGTACAAGCATAAAATCTTATTTATAGTTATTAAGCAATTCAAACAACTTTTTAAATAAACACTGTTTATGCATGTTACACTTTAATATATCTATTGAAAAAGACACTCTGGTTAATTCTTTAAGATGCACAGATAATCTGGGTTTACCTTAACTTGCGTTTTCGTCAGGCCCGTTTCTTGCGTAGCTTGATCGACTTTGCTGTCATATAAATGACCTGTTCCAACCATTCCATTACCATATAATCGCTCCAGAACGATTCTTTGAGCATCCGTAATACGATTTCTTTGACGTTTTGACGGTTCCATATTTTAAATGTCGAAATATATCAAAATAATACTAAAATTCTATCGAAGTGCAGTCGCGACGAGTGAACAAATTAGCATACACACAAATGCGCATAGAAAAGCACCGTTTATTGGATCAAACGTATTTGACCTTTGCCCTTTGCGCATAGCTGGCCATTGAATGATTTAGATGATCATTTGGCCTGGGTTAGACCTGCACTTCTCAATTGAGAAATCTTGGGTTACAGCCGCTGAGAATATGTGACACGGGTGTCAATTCAGAGTTAAAACGACGTTTACCAGACAAGCCATATGTCACTGACCGCACCATATCAAAGCATTTGGAAGGCATGCTGTTTACATTGAAGTTATCACATCGTGTGCTAGCCGAACGAAACAGACAGGATGTTGTAGAACGCCGTCACGAGTATGCACATTGGTTTCTTGAAGAGGCAAATTTGCACCACACAGTATTTATCGATGAATGTGGATATAATATTTGGACAGCGAGAAGTCACGGTCGCTCACGTCGTGGGGATAGAGCCTACCGTCAAGTATGCGGTCAAAAAGGACGAAATATAACCATATGCTTAGACATTTCACCAGTTCTAGGTGTCGTACACCATCTTATTCAAATGGGTGGTATGATTCGTGAAATATTTGCGGAATTCCTCAACAATACCGCCCAACATTTGAACGATGAAGAAACGCATTATTTAATATATGACGGTGCACCAGCTCATAGAGGAGCAGTCGACCCAAGTGTCGATATCCATGTGAAGATGCTCCCTCCTTATAGCCCGTTTCTTAATCCTGTAGAAGAAGCTATCAGCTGCCTTAAAGCCAACATCAAGGCAGACATTGCCCGTCCTCAGATTCAAGTTCGTATGAATGACAGACAAGCAGCAAGAAATGCACAAATGCCATTGGGTGAATTTCGGAAACAAATAATGATAGCAGCTGCTGAGCGAAATATGCACAGCATAACAGTAGGTAAATGTGTCGCATGGGCCAGACATATGCAGACATACTTGCCTCGATGCCTTGCGAGAGAACACATCCAGGGCTGAACACTAATTATTTTTTGTATTGCTGTTGTGTGAACAGTGGAACATTAAATCTATATTTTCGAGAGTGCCCCTTCTCTCTTTGTAAGCTTTAATGACTTTTTCTTGCAGTTTAATGTATTTTGATTTATTGTTATTGTTGTTGTAAAAATGTTAATGATTAATAAGTTGATGCAATTGTTCTGTGTTTCGTCTCATTGATTTTCACTTTACGGAATATATAATGAGGTGTTGTTTTTGAACTCACTTGTGAGCACAATTGATGTTCGAATAGCTTTAGTGGTTTTTCTTGAGTGTTATTGATGCACAAATCGTCTTAATGGGTTGCTATATTCGTAAAATGATATTCAAATGCTGTATTTAATATAATCGACCTTTTTAAGGTATCTACCAGAGATAGTGAGATCTATCTCAGGGTTTTTTGTACATGGGTGAAAGATAACAAAATTTGATTTTTCAATGTTTAATAGATTCTAAGACTGATAGATTCTTGGTTTCATAAAATAAATTGGAGTCATCAGCAAAGAGATAGAAATCAAATAAATCTGAACATTCATGAAAATCATTGATATATAAAATAAATAAGAGGGGGCCCAAAACAGATCCTTGGGGTATACCACAGTTAACTTCATGAAGATCAGACATTAAATTATTCACAGACACATAATGTTGCCTATCAGTAAGATATGAAACAAACCAATCTTTTGCAATCCCCCTGGTGATATTTTTCTAACTTATCAATATCGCATCAGTGATGGACACATGAGTAGTTTCGATTTTGAATTTTATCAGTAATAGTAAGAATCGTATGTTCTGTTGACTGCTGTAAACAAAATCCAAATTGCCGATTTGTTATAAATTATACCTTTCTGTTCAAAAAAATGAATCAGACGAGTAGACATAATTTTTACTAGTAGTTTGTTAAAAATAGAAAGAGGGAAATTGGTCGATAGTTATTTATACTACTTAATCTCAGAGTTACATGTATCTATATAGTCAAGCGGCGATTTACTGACATTATATAGGAACATTAGTGGCAAGTCAATCGCCTACACTATCAAAATAGCTACTAAAAGCATTTGCAATTTCCTTTGTAACAGTGATCTCTTGTCCAATATTAAAATTTGGATTTTTCATGTATATAATTTGTTTAATACCTTTCAATACCAGCTCAGTATCATTTGAATAATAATTAAAAATTATAAGTCATTGTAATAATTCTTAAAATGGACTGCCTGCTCATCATTAAAAAATTATGATTTTTAAGTTACAAATTATGAAAGTGTTTGCTCATGAAGTCGACCACTGACCAGTATTGCTGACTGCATTTACTCTCATATCTCACGACGTAGCTGGCTTCTCTCACGGCAAAGGTTCTTTTAGGTTAATTATCTACCTGGGCTTGAGGATTATATGCCTGTACGGGGGAGGAATATTTCTAAAAGTAATCTTAAATTTTTATGAAATTATGTTGATTATTATTTGTAAACACCAAAAAATTTACTACTAAAACAATTAGTCGCCTCAAGCTCGGTGATTACAAACCTATAATTACTTCGTCTTCGGCTCAGTGAATATGGGCTTGTAATCACCTTGTCTTCGGCGACTTTTATTGTTAAATATATATAGCGTATAGACATAGCCAGCTGTGAAAATTTATATCACAAAGATAAATAGACCGATCCTATACTTATGCTTCTGCTAGCTCTTACTAAAATCCTAGCTACCTTTCGAGCTGTTGAACATGTCGCCTGTGATGCTGAAGGTTTAAATACGAAGCCTCTGCACCGCAGCCGGAGGAAACGAAATGTCGATCGGTGTAGTTTTTAAATTCGTTTTTAGTTTCTTTTGTGAATTCTGGACACTGATTGGCTACTGAAATACATAACTCACTGATTAGCTAAGCACAGAAATTTTTAGTCGCTCTTCAAATTCAACACTACCAAATTCTCTCCTTGATGTATTATAAAAAAGTTTAATCATTTGAAATTGGTGAAGATGGGGTTGTTTAACATTTTGCAAGTATTTCGGACTTCGTATTTCACCCGCGCGAGACAATTTTTTATTCTATTTTTACAAACCTAGATGTATCATATAATTACATAATTCCACGTTCAACACCAAACAGGTCTTCCAAACATATTCCTAAATACATTATTCCTTGATTAGGATACATCTATAATGTTATTGATTGAAAATAAATAACTTAATTAACATGTACATTTCTCACTGTCAACAAAACTTGCACTTCTCGTCTTTGACTTTGTCCTAATATTTTAACTGTTCCGAATCAAATTACATGCATACACATCAACATTCACGTCCTATATCTTATTAAATCAAGTTGAAGCAAAATATAATCAAAATAAATCAGATATAAATAAAACAGTGTGGAATATAGAATTAAATCAATTAATATAACGATATACAGTACTGTCCAGAAATAACCTAACACTGCGGTCGCGGTTAGGTTGCCGTTCGGTTGCAAGGGGAAAAATACCTTCGCAGTAGCCGTTCGCTTCCGAACGAAATGTTATATGAACAGCTTAGAAGGACAACACAATAACCAAATCGAAAAAATCGTAAGAAATGTCTGTCAATCCGAGTTAGGCCGAGGTTTAACCTAGGTTAACAGCGGTTTTTGTTAGGTTATTTCTGGACAGTACTGTACATGCATGGTTCAACGTTCCATAATTGTAATTGACTGTCCGAAACAACGTTGATCATTCGGGGCAGTACAGAATAAAAATCAGTATACAAGCGTTAGTTCAATCTGAGTTTGTATTCACCTTGCTATCGCTCAGACAATACCACATAACTTCGGTTTATGTTTTCCTGCTCTTACTTTTAGAAATATGTCATGATCATAATAACTATAACTTAATACACGTTTAGCAGTCGTTGTTCTTACCAGTTATTACGTTAACAATACCACTGAACATTCGCGAAAAAAATCGTAGCGGATTTTGCCTATCATCTTCTTTTTGGAGGAACATTCGCGTTTCTTCGTTTTCTTGGTATTCTTTCCATGGATCAAAACCAGGTTTTGCTGTGCGATTTATCTTTTCAGCCCGATTTAGTGTTTCTTGCAGAGCCTTTATACGGTCCTCGAAACCAGGTTTGCGTTGCAATTCTTCTGAACGAATAAGAAGACCAAGATATTCCCAAAGTTCAAGAGGATCAGAAGGTGGATCAACAGGATCAAGAGGAGCGATTTCTGTTAGCCGTTGTAAACAACGTTGCATTTCTGCCACAAACACGAGAACAACCTTCTGAGTGTCGTCGTACTCTTTTTTAAGCTTCTTGATTTGTGCTTCAACATCGGTTTTCCGGCGATAATACTTTTTACTGGCAGTCTGTTCATTTTTAACTCTTTCAATTTCCACCCGATACTGGACATTTACATGAACCGACCAGTCACAATGATTGGGACATTGCTGGCATCTTCCATTTCTCATAGCTGCGCAGTATTTTTTGTCTTCCATCCTAGGGATATCACAAAAGGGGTGGCAGGTATAATTGCAAGGGATACAGTTCGTTACGTACGTTCCAGATTGCAGAGGAACTTTCACTCGTTTTTCTTCTGTTAAACTGTAATCAAGGTCCTCGTTGTAATTATCTCTCTTGGCATATTGTTCAAATATTTTCTGTTCTTGCTGAAGTCGACAAAGTGCGTTCATTCCGCAGTGTATTTTATCCTGCAAGTCACTTATTCGAACTTCCACTTGCGCCATTTCCTGTGACATATCTTTTGTTAAAACAACACTTTGGCTTTCCATTCCATTAACAGATTCAAAAAACTTCTCAACACGTTTCATTTCCATTGACCAAAACATTGGGCTAAAGATATTACTTTCGGAGTTGTCATCCTCCTGAGGGGTGAATACGGCTTGGGTATCAGGATCAAGAAGGGTGAATAGAATTATTGTGTTCTTCTGGATATCCTCGCCAAACATGGACATAATTTTGTCTAACACGTAACATTGGTTAGGTGTGGGCCTTGTTCCAGTGGCTTGGGTAGAAAAGCAGATAGCGTCAATATGATCAATCCCTACATTATCACGGGTTTCGAAAAACTTGCGAATTTGGTCAGTTATCTCTTGATTGTGTATCATTTCTCTGACGTCTCCAAACTCAGGGGTGTCCACGATAGTTAAATTGTACGGTACCTGGGAAAAAGATTCATCACAGAACAAATATAAATCCAGTGCGTAAATAAAGTATGCATTAACGACTTATTTAAGCTATAATTATTTAGCTGCCTTATATGCACACGTTAAGAGAGCATGTATGTTATCATTGTTATGAGACACGTTGCTGTATGTTGTGCGTTGTAGCTTTTACCAAGTATATCCTATAGAGTATAGGCCGTTTCTGCAATAAACTAAATTTTGAACTTATCAACATAAGAAATCCTATCGATTATTATTACCCTGGCGTAACCTTAGCGTCAAAAATCAGTAAAAAGTTTGGTTTCAAATTTTGTATATAATAAGCATCAGCGTAAGCTATAAGCAAAATTAAACGGACAATAAACCATGGCGGTTATGGTTTTAATCACGCTTATTTGCAAATCTTTCTTAAGTTAGTCTCAGACAATGCTAATACTACATTAGGAAATGTTTTACGGTTCTATCATCTATCAACTCGGAAAATTTGTAATTCGAATCCAGATGATGAGAGAACGTTAGAGTTAATATTAGAGGGAAAATTACCTTAAAACCTTTCAAATGTGGCAAAGTGTAGCAAGTGACAATCGGCGTCCGGAAAGAATCATGAATCATCTTCAGTCGGAAAGAATCTTCCCATTTCACTCCGAGAATATAATTGATCATAGCATTTACTGTTTTCGTTTTTTCTGAACCAGTTGATCCAACCATCACTATAACTTTATTTGGTATACTTGCCCTCTGAGCATCATCATTACCTCCGACTTCAAGGTTAATCTGATATTTACGTGATTCAAGATCAGGATCTTCGAATACTAAAGTCGAAGGAAGAACATAGACAGCAGGTTTGCCGTCCTCAGCTGGCTTAGCAAGCTCGCACAAACCAAGGATTTTTCCCGGCTGAAACGTTGGCTTTTGAAAAGATGTAGAAAATGAATCGCTAGAAGGACTGTTGCTGCTTTCTCCAGCGTCCCCACAGTTTGCTGTGACTCTGAAGACAAATGACATTGACGGATGAAGATTTTTTAGAGTATACTTTGGCGTTGCATCGTCGGTCTGTTCCATCTTTCGAGTTTTCCAGTCATCTTGGCTCCACTCGACTTTATAGTTGACGATCTGAACATCCTTTCCGAGACGTTGTGGTTCTTTGAAAACAATTGTTAGTGATTCAGATGTAGCCTCTTGTAGTTCTGGTTTACCAGGAGGACTGGCTGGCTTCGTACTGGCAGAAAATACCTCACTGTACTTACTTACAATGATTTTTCGTACCGCGCAGACTCGGATGAAGTATTTCGTTGCTAGTTTAAGTTCTGTAAGAGTGACAAAATTCCGAACTTCGCCGCTGGATTTAACATCAACACTTGACCACGTATCTCCGCCAGCATCATCCTGGTATTGAACCTTGTAACTCGTAACAGTGTTCCCAGCTTGATCATCCCAGGAAACTTGCAACGTACTTTCTTCTGCTTCTTCTAATTTCAGGTTGTTAGGCGGCGGCTGTGAGGTCAGATCCTCGTTCTCAACATCTCCTTCTTCATAGAAGTAAAGAAAAGCCCCTGTTTTACCCTCGTAGTCATGGGGAAGCGGCTCATCAGTCGCGAGAAATTCCACCGAACAGTTTTCTTTATTGACCGATTTTAGCGTCGTGAAATGCTCCATTGCTTTACGTACTTTCTTGTATGTCAATTTTTCGTCAGCTTTGAGAGCGTTTTTTGCAACGCTTTCACTTGACGCGTCGCTATCATTGAGATAGGCATCCATTTTCAAAATCTGTTCGTCTTCTTCGCAGGCAATTTTGAACGTACAACAAACTATAAACTTAATTTCTGGATTATACATGTACACTTTATCCTGTACAGCTTCTGGAATGATGACTTGAGTTTCTTTAAGTGGACGAATTAAACCATGTAATCTCTTCATTTCTTGTTTCTTGCATCCAAGCCAACGTGTGAGGGTTTCGCAAGAAAACGGAGATGCTTCGTTTTCTTCAATGATTTGAGTCAGCTCGATTTCTTCTACTCCACCACCTCGAATTTGGGGAAGAATTACCAGTATTTTCTTTTGTAGAAGGAGTTTGTACAACTCAATCGTTTTCGAATAATGTTTAAGTTGTCTTCCTAATCTTGGAAAATGAACGCATATATCTTCCCTTATCAGATCATTGCATTCTGCTATCACAGACTGGAGGTGCTCTTGGATTTCAGCTGATTTTTTAACTAGTTCTGAACTGATCTCCCTTACTATTCTTTGGCATTTGCTGTCGATTGAACTCAATGGGCACAAATATACTTTAATTGGAACTGCTTTTTCTCCCTTCTCACCAATCAATGAAGGTAACTGTTTGTAAATTTTTACTGCATCTTCGTAATTTGTTGGACTTTCGCTGGTACGGAAATCTCCATACATCTGGCAACGCATGTTTTCGGTGTTCTTCTTTTGTGTTTCATTGATTTTGACAGACCCATGTCCATCAACAGTAATGCTTGGCAATGATTTAACTAAGACATCCATGTTTCCATGTACTTCTTTTAACGTTTCGTCCTTAGAGACTTCCTTGTCAAATACCATGAATGCCTTTGCTCCGTACAGTATACCAACCACAACATCCGTTGCCTCAGTATCAGTATCAAACACCTCGGGATATTGAATTTTTCCTGTTCCCAAATGTTCCATGGTGAGATGTTTGAGTTCTGTAGTTGTTTCATATTTCAGGACAACCCGACATTGATTCTTTGATTTTTTGGTATCATTTAAATACTTTGCAGCGCCTTCCACTTTTACTAGCCCAGACAGAAAACTCAACTTTAGGCTGGCTTCTATGTCAAGAGCACTTGTCTTATCTTCAACCGTATTTTCTGTGAATACTTTGGAGTTAGTGAATGGTTGGTGACTAGTCTCGACAGCGGCATTCAAATGCTTCTGAGACCACAATGTTTTACTAAGAATCAACCTGTCTGAACGACGATCGTAAAGCATCCCTAAGCCGAATGGCCGACCCACAGCAGAAATCGTTGTCATTCTAATTCTTGCTGCAAAGAACAATTAAAAAGTAATATTCTGCAAAAGTAATAATATAGGCGCGAATTTAAAGTTCTAAGTAAATTACAATTGATCGTACAGAAATAGAATTACTTAGGATTTGTGCCAAAGTGCCGAAGTCGTATGAAATAAAGGAAATGATAATTCAGTTTTGTCGAGGATCTGGCTTTTGATTGGTTGATTTCTTAATATCAATCCTGTTTCCCTCATGCCGCCAGTCGCACTTCAGCCGATGTTATAGTTTTTCCAAGTTATATTTGTCCTTATACCTAAGATTGATGGCTCAAGAAATGTTAAAATTTCGGTTTAAAGAATGTCAGTCTTTTCATAGCAACAAAAAATCGAAGTTCGTGACGAATCCTTTGTTTTGCTGGAAAATTCGGACAAAGAGAAATTTGCATGAAACTCCGCATCATTCCATGCAATTGATTTTTTTCTGCAGGTCATTCGTTTCTTTGCATTAGGCATTATTTGAGGATATTTTGAGTTTATTTGATCCAAGCACGAAGTCCGGCCAGAAAATGCGCAGAAGCTGCATGGCTTCATATCACACTTGCGAAACAAAATCACTCGCACTGGCCACTCGTGCGCGAAGAGGACCTCTTATCTAATGTCTTTTCTCCACAGTTAAAATAACTTGTCGTAACATATTTTATATATTCAAACAACTTTTCTTTTTTGCTAGAAAATTCGCAAAACACAACTTGCATAACAATTATACAAGTGTATGGGGGTTGAAATCACTAAAAGTGCGATTTGTCCGGCGAGTATGAGCACGGTTTTAATTTGTTTCTGAATTTTTTTACAGGATTTAACAATAAGTTGTGCACAAGTATATAGAGAAGAAGTCATATTTGTTTCCAAAGAAGAAGAATGATATAGTTTACTACGTAAACTAATGGTACAACCCCCGGGTAGAAAGTTTACTGGACGTTACTATCGCAAGTGAAGTGCTGCCTCACAGGCATGGGGTATAGCCACAGAACGCATGCAAATAGAACTACAGCAGTACAATGTACACAAAAGTGACAAATATTTTAATTCAGATGTTAATTAAAATATATATTATAAAAGTTATGCTATATTTCGATCCACTTACGTGGTTTTCTGTCATTTGTGCGAGTGTATCTTTTCTCCCTAACCATAATGATTAATATATGTCTATGCGTCCAACCGTCCATTACGCGTAAAAGAACTTGCCAGTTCATGATCAATATACAATAGCAATGATTTCGCATAAAGGCGGAGAGGCACATTTACAAATCGATATTTTGACTACATACACAAATACATACGAGTTCATGATCAATATACAATAGCAATGATGGCAAGAGATGAGCAATAATGGGAAGAAATGTGAATTATGTGACGTTGTCTTCCGTTTGCATAAATTTCGCATAAATTTACGCGAACAGACAGACATTTACAAATCGAGATTTTGACTACATACACAAATGCATACGTCGCGCTAAAGACTGGGTCGAATGAACTCTGCCTTCGGCAGCAATGATCACCGGTCAAATAATGCGCCATAATTTATTCAAGAAGAATTACTTTTATGGAGGAGCTTTTTGCATCAAAAGAAGTAAAACAAGTACGATCGTACTATTGGACCAGGAACTGGTGAAGAATAGATTTAATCTTTCTCTCCAGGATGAATTTTCATGAACCTAGGCAATCTTGCTAACGGTTATGTTAAAATTATCGCTTTTCTACATTTTCTCATCTGCTTTCATACAAAGACACTTAAAATGTCCGAGTTGCACATCTATGACTATGTCCTAATCTATGCCGCCGTAGCTGGCGAGAAGGTAGCGTTGCGTGCACCGTGCCACTGTCATTATAGTCGTTTTTTATGTATATGTATGCTGGGCAAAGCCTAAACAAATAAATAAAAAATAAGTAATGCCCTGGAGAGAAACGCATTTAACGCAATGGTCCTATAGTCATGAATATATATTGTGTACAAAACAAAGAAAATACACGACCTTCTGGCTTGAACTCATAGTATATTAGTATGATAATATTAAAATTTGCCTCCCGCCACAATCTGACATGGCTTGCAAATCTTGTGAAGAATATAAGCACAAACAATTTAACTCCGTAAGTCGATAGAGAATAACGTTTAAGATAGTTGTGTGAAGTTTTATCACGATCTGGTGCGAAATGACGGAGCCTTAGCCATTTGAACTTGCTTCAGTTATGCATACTAATATTGAATATAATCTATACGGATTACTACGCTACAATTTTGAGTTGCTTCTAAATTTCTTTAAAATAAAAAAATCAAAATTATAACTCCGTCAATCGATGGGGAATATCGCTAAGGATAGTTGTGCGAAGTTTAATTGCGATCTGATGCGAATTGACGGAGCCTTAGGCTTTTTTAAAGAGCGTCACCCCCTAACAACAACAACAACAACAACAACAACAACAACAACAACAACAACAACAACAACAACAACAACAACAACAACAACAACAACAACAACAACAAGATTAGCCGCGTGTGGGGACCAGTTCCTGGTCCAAAAATTCAGAAACAAGTTAAAATTGTGCTCATACTCGGATAAATCGCAGTGCGATAATCGCACTGTTGATAATTTTCAATCCCCACCCGTATAATTGCCAAAAGGGTAGTTGTGTTTTGCGAATTTTTTTGCCAAAACAGAAAGTAGTTTGAATATATAAAATATATCACGACAATTTATGATAACTGTGGAGAAGACTCTCGAGTGGCCAGGGCGAGGCGTCAGTTTATTTCGCAAGTGTGATCTTCGATTCAAATGACAAAAGCCGTTTCTCATTGACTGCGATTTGCAAACAATACTGATACAATTTAATAATTACCTATATCCATATAAAGGATGGCATTCAGTATGGAATATATATAGTTCGGACCCTTGCGTGTCCCTTGAAAATTTAATCCAAAGGTTTGAGAACTTCTGCGCGCGTTCTGGCATTTATATGCGTATATATGCATAAAGCAATATGTTTTATGTAATCCAATTTTGTAATAAGACCATACCGCTTTCCGAAGATACTTTTAAAAACTTCAGTGTCTGACTGCCAGAGGTGATCGAGCAAGGATCAGTTTAATTTCATCGCATGAAACGAAAGAACACTGGCTATATATATACCTAGTTCTATAATAGCTTATAAACTTCAGCGGCCAGTGGCCCAGTACGAATGCAAAACGTGCGTTTTGCCACGCTTGCCACGCTGCATGCATAAATTTACATTTTAGCCATGCAATTTCTGCGAGTTTTCTGGACTTCGCGCTTGCAATTGGTCAAATAAACTCAAATTATCCGGCCTCAAATAATGCCTAATGCATTGATCAAGAATGATTTGCAGCGAATAATGTTATTCCACATTTTTTACGTCAGATACCCGGCTATTTTCATATTCACGTCTAAATCTGAATGTGAAAGTAAATATAAAACCGTAGATCCGACGGTGCCGGTGGAGACCACCGTGATGGGATTTGCCTGAACAAGCAGCAACAAGACCCTTGCGTGTCCCTTGAAGATTTAGTCCAAAGGTTTGAGAAATTCTGCACGCGTTCTGGCATTTATATGCGATATATGCATAAAACAATATGTTTTATTTAATCCAAGCTTTTAATAAGGCCATGCATATACCTTTCCGAAGATACTTTCAAAAATTTCAGTGTCCAACTGCTGGAGGTGATCGAGCAAGGATCAGTTTAATTTCAGCGCGTTAATCGAAAGAATACTGGCTATATATAGCTCTAATAGCTGAACATGAAATGGATAACTCAGTTCTATAAACTTCAGCCGCCAGTACAAATGCAAACGCATGCGTTTTGCCAGTGCATGGCGGTGCTCGGCTGAGAAGCATGTATATAGTCGATCATTACACTTCGAGGATTATGAAACCTCAAAGACACAAAGCTGGTTTCAAAGATATAAATCCCAGGGTTTGAGAATTAAGATAACTTTGACTTACCTTTCTAAATGTACTTTCAATTTCAGTGGCGACCACGCCTTGATCACTTTAAATTTCAGCGCAAGACGAACATGCATATGGACAGCCGAAGAGCTAAAGCGTCGACTGCGTTAACTATGATGCTGGGTGCCCTTGTTTAATATACGGCGGATGTGCAGTTCATGTCCTTTTATGGCTGTTACCTAAATCAGATCCAAGGAATGGAGAACCCAGGAATTGCGGAATCTGGGAATTGAAGTAATTCCTTTGGAATTTATTTTCCAAAAAGTTATCTCCTAAGGCAAGGTCATAATCACCTGCAGCAAAGTTTTCGGTTAATATTTGTGTGAATCATGCTTTCTGCTTAACACAACGTCAATGAAATGTCTTTCGATAAAAATTTGTTCAATGAGGATATTAAAATGTGCCATAAGGAACAGTGTCAAGCGCGGGTCAGTTCAGTCGCTGCATGATAATCTCGTGACTCGGTCGAACGTAAACAATAGTCACATTTCAATTCGCCTTCTTTAAGCAACTCAGCATGTTGTCCAATGCTGTCAAAGAAAGGTTCACTGCTCAGTGCTTCCGTAACTGCACCTCTTGTTTGTTTGTTTTTACATTCCGAAATGGAAAAATTCAAGATAGCTTTCAGAAAGTTTATCCTGCCCTTCTGAAGAAGCGTATCAAATTCTTTATGAACTTTAACACTCCAGTTCAGACCAGTCCAGACATAGTTAAAAAATATACACCGGATGTGCAGTTCATGTCCTTTTATGGTTGTTACCTAAATGAGATCCAAGAAATGGAAAACCCAGGAATTGCGGAATTTGGGAATCGAAGTAATTCCTTGGAATTTCTCTTTCAAAAAATAATCGTGCTCTGCTTAACGCGACGTTAAGGAAATGTCTTTAAATATTTCTGACCGCTTCCTTGCACGGCCGGACATCGTGGTTTCTGTAATCCAATTTCGACTTCAAACATTTCTCTCCTCTGCCTACTACCGTTTTTCGTCTCTAGATCTCACACCGTCATT